CCAGGTTGGACGGGGCTCTGAGCAGCCTGATCTGGTTAGCGGTGTCCCTGCTCGCTGCAGGGGGGTTGGACTAGATGACCTCTAAAGGTCCCTTCCAAACCAAATCATTCTATGATTCTGTGATGCTATGATTCTATAGACTGCTGTGAAGAGTCTGACTCAGTTTCCTTATGACTTTCTTGGAGGTATTGGAAGGCTACTATTAGGTCCCTGCACAGAAGCCTTCTCTTCTCCTGGCTGAGCAAACAGAGTTCACTATTGTTGATCAGACTTTGCTTAGAGCATGGATGAAGTGAATTTTTCTTGTCCCTAGGTTAGTATATGTTAATACAAAACAATATGTTAATATAGGACTTAAATTCAGTTAGAGTAGTTAGTTGTCACTTTTTTCTTCTTCTGTGGACTAAATTTAAAGCATTTGTTTTTAGCTGTAAGTGGTTAACAAATTCAATTCTAAATTTCACTTTGGTCTCATGTGACTGATATCTCAAACAGCATGAATAAATACATTTTAAAGGGGGTCACAAGCTTATTGGATTTGTTTTCCCAGAAATTAAAAGAGCAGAAGCTTCTGAAAACTTGGAGGTTTTAAGTTGCTGTAGACTTGCAACTTTTTTAAAGTCACATTTGTCAATTCAGTTTTCTGGGGTTTACAGCACACTTATGGTAAAGTACTTTAATTCTAATATAAAATAATTGCTTTTCATTTGTATTCCTCTAATTGCTAACCTTTTGGCAGAGGAGATTTTTATTGAATTAAATAATACAGAATTGTGGTGGGCTAGCCTTGGTTAATGGCCAAATGCCCACCCAGCTGCTCACCACCCATCCAGCAGTTCTAGGGGGTAAAATAGGATGAGAAAGCTCATGGGTCAAGAGAAAAACAGGAAGATTGCTTACTGATTCTTGTCATGGCAGAATATTCTTGACTTGGGGAAAATCAGTTTGTTGCTGATTTTAAAATAGATTGGGTTAATGGGAAACAAAAGACAAAAGCTAGAACAGCTTTCTTGCCCCATTTCCAAAACTCAACTTCACTCCTTCACTGCAGGCTCCTCTACCTGCTGCTTGCCAGCCCCAAGCAGTGGGGGTCAGGAATTGGGGGTTGCAATCAGTCCAAAACACTTAATCTCTGCCACTCCTTCCTCCTCACACTTTTTCCCTGCTCCAGTGCAGGTCCTCTCCATGGGCAACAGTCCTCTAGGAAAAATCTGCAGTGTGGGTCTTCCACGGGACATGGTTCCTTCAGGAAATGTCTCTCTGCTCTGGTGCACAGTGTGGCTATGTTCTCTGCCCTGGAGCTGCTCCTCCCCCTCTTCTGGCCTAGGCATCTCCTCTGTTGTTGCTCACTTTTTGTTTCCCCTTCCTCCCTCCTGGGGGTGTTTTTTGCTCTTGAATACATTTTCAGAGAGGTGCCACACACGTGGTGGATGGGCTCAGCTCTATCCTGCAGTGGGTCTGTTCTGGAGCTGGATAGAACCAACTCTGTCTAATACAGGGCCCCCTGCAGAGGCCATCTCTGTAGTCCCACATGACCAACACCTTGACACCTACACGCTTAAAGACAGCAGTTGCCTGTATTTAGACCTCTGCTAGCACTATTCCACTTCAGTTGTAGAGCTGCTTTTGTTTTAGCTTGTTACTTCAGTGGTTAAACATGGTTTTATGAAAGTATCTTCTAGAACTATGGGCCTGAGTAAAAACCAGTGTTCTGTCATCTGATAAACAGATGTGGGAGGAGAACGGTGTTGATCTTTGTACTTCAGTTTTCTTGGATGGATGTGTAAACTGCTCTGAAAAGGAAGTAAATATTATGAGATGATAAAGTTCAGAATACCTTCTGTAAGAGAGACTAAAGGGGAAAATTACATGAAATTAGGCAGCTGTTTTATGTTTATGTTCTAGCTGGGAGGGTTTTAGAGCTCTTAGAAGCCTGTCCAGTGCCTGTAAAAGACCATCTAGCAGAGTCGAAAGGGGCAGCATCAAGTTTGTCCTGAGCATGTCAGCAGATCCACACTGCTGGCTGGGCGCTGTGCAGGTTTCTCACAGGAGGAACAAGATCTCTTGTCAGTGGCTAAAATCAATGACTGTTTTATAAGTAGTGTAAATGCCACTGTAATCCAGCTCACTCTCCTCTCCAGCCTCCTCAATCCACTAGCTTCAGAACTGCCTGTTAATTAACACAAAGGTGATTAGTAAGAGTCCTGTTACCTCGTGAAATTATACAGCCTCCACCTTGTAGAGGGCTAACTGAACCTAAAGATACAAGACAGATATATGTCTGCTGAACTTGAAGCAAAAATGTTTCAAAATTATAGCTGTCCTAAAAAAATTCTCATATTAAAAAAGCTGAAGTTCAGTAGAATTCGTTGAATCTGGAGGCGACTGCAGTCTGACAAGAGTTGAGTACAGTGTTATGAAGTGAGTATCTTTCTGTATCACCCCCCTTTTCTTTAAATAAAACAAAGGGGGTTGTTACATTCTGAAGGTTGGAAACTATTTCTAAAGCTTTGAGAACAATAAATTATTATAAAAAATCTCAATTTTTAAGGAGGCTACTGAAATAACGCACTTAACAATTGTAATTTTAGAATTCTATATTTAGTTTCCTTTCTGTTACCGAAACAGATGGCCAGAATAAAATTAATACAAAAGCATGTAATGTTATCTAAAGGTAATTGTAGTTACAGCTTTGCTTTCAACCATTTACTCTTATCTGTTAAGATTTTGAGCTTGACTTTTTATTTTTTCAGTGCAGTATATTTTTCAGTATGAGCCTCTTGAATGTGTTAAAATAGATTTTTCTTAAAAAGGATAAACAAGAAAAGGATTTAATCTCTAGTATCTGGTCCATTGTTTTATTTGCAACAAAATCCTTTTGATGATGCTTTTCTTGTTGTCTTGACTACAGCAACATTTTTCTATTCTTGTTTGCTTTGGTCTTACTAATTATTATTAATGAGCAAACTTATCTTTTGAACATTAAGTTTTACCTTAAAATTATCATGTTTGTGTAGCTTATTTGTTCACCTGTGACAATTGTAACTTAAGTATTTCATTAAATTATACAGAGTTTTAATACACCAGTAATTTTTCTGCTGCACAGTCAAACAGTTCCTCAATTTCTGCCTTATTTAATGTTGTTGCCGAGAGAAGGTGGCAGATTTGGAGAGTTGTCTTTTGACATGTGTTGAATTATCACTAATTTGCAGATTGAAGTACAGAAAGTGTGGGGATTTAGGGTGAGTGGGAGGAGGAGTTGTGTGGTGTGGTTGTTTTGTTTGTTTTGTTTTTCATTCCAAGTGTTCTGGGAAAACTTCTGTGCTTTCTCTTAACGACTTATACTCAAGTCATGCTTATACATCTTCAGGACTCTCCAGTTACTTTCAAAAAAGATAAATGTGCAAAATTTTGTGAAACATGTTAGCAGTTACTGCCTTTTTGTAATAGTTTCAGAAGGGAAAAGCCCACATTCAGAGATTCCTAAGAATTTTGCTGTGGAAAACTATACTATTTTGCTTTACATCAAAACTGTTGCTTTATTTATCAAACTTTTCTTTTGAAAGTGGAAAATGTGTTCCAGAGTGAATGTTACCACCAAACTCCCAGTTGGTAAATCAGCCTTTCGGTGTTGCTTAAGGGTTTTCCACTGAATCTTTAAAGTTCAAATTGGGTTGCTGAGTAATTATATTCATATCTGCCAGAAGTAGTGTGTGGTGTCCAATTGTCACCCATAAGACTTAACTTTCTTCTACCTGCAGTGATTCTGAAAGGGGACAGAGAAACATCTTACATTTTAAAGTTGAATTCTGCAAGAATTTCAGAGGTGTTTATAGCTTTTTCACTGAGAATACCTGGTAGTATGTAGAACTTGCAGAGGAGATACTAGGCTTGGCCTGATTCTGGCATTACTACTTTTTTATTCAAAATATACAATGATTTAGGCATCATCAGTGGCTCTAGTACAGTCACACACGTATTATGGGAGAATGATGTTGTTAGTCTTTGCATGGAGTTCACAAAATGATTTGCATTGATCCTATGCCAGCTAATTATAGATACAAACTTACATGCTGTGACTCATTAGTATCTCACCACATTCAACAAGTTAGCTTTTTACCAATCTTTTCGCCCTGTGTTACCACTGCCCAAGCATCTGTGTCAAGGAGGTTTATATAATCTGTCAGTCAGATACAGAGTGTGAGCCCCAAGGAACCATGAATAGCTATGCTTAATCTAGATACCAGTTTTTGCTTGCTGAGCAAGTTTCTTCCACATGACTTAAAGAAGGTATCCTCAAGTTAGCTAGTTCCCCAAGCTTTGTATCATATATGTTTGTATATGGGCACATACAATGCATGCATGAAAATCAATTCAGACAATCGGCAGCTTTGCAATTGTTACTTGCAAAAAAACTACACTGGTCATTCTATTTATTGGCATGTTATTGACTATTATCAGCATGACTATTATCAGTCAATTCATTCTCACTGCGTCAAATGATCATGTAATTTTACAGGAGACAGAGAAAAGGAGAAGATTTGAAGAAGCATACAAAAATGCTGTGACAGAACTGAAGAAAAAGTCCCACTTTGGAGGGCCGGACTATGAGGTACAAATTCTGCTTTTGGAATTTTTGAAAATTCTGTGACTTCTAAAGATTGGTTCGTTTCGCAAAGCAGGGAAAGGATGTGTAAATTAAGGTGTTTGACTGTGTTCATGCCAATTCTATTTTTCCACTTTGGAAACTGAGACTGGATGAAGACTCTCAGTCCTCAATTTTTTGAGAATGGAGGTCTGTCTTCATGTTCTGCTTTTGTCTAAAGCATTTTGCTTGCAGATATTTCTGCTGATTTTTTAAGTATTTTTCTTGTACGTTTGATACTGCTTAAATGCAATAATTTTGTACTTTCACTTTTTAGTGGTTCAGCTGTATAGATACGTAAAGCAAATATGAAAACCCTGACTGCAGAGGCAGTCCTAGAATATGAAGTTTAGCTGGAATTGATTTTTAACTTGTCACTACCACTTGAAACTTCATGTTGACAAATTCAGTGATTTTAGGTTCCTTTCATCTGTTAAATTGCATATTTCAGGAGCTTCCTCCTCAGTGAGATATTTAGTCCGTCTAAGATGCTTAAGCCACCTTCTGAAAAATAGTGTAAACTAATGCACCTATAATGCAGTTTGTATAATTTTTAAGAACTTGACCCTTTAATGTATATTAATCAAACACATTTCTACTTACAAATCATAGCCTGAGAAATGGTATTAATATGTTGAGATATTTAAAAGATGCTTCAGCTTAGATTCTCTGTTGTGACTGAGGCATATACTATAAAAGAAAAAGATGGATAGGAAGTTGGACTTTGTCTACCTGGCTATGAACCTAGCTGCTTCTCCCAGGTATCCCTGCTGTAAAGTAGGTTTTTTTAAATTTGCTGGACCATCTTGTTTTACAGTACAGTAAAAGCAGTAAACCTAATTTTCTGAAATTACCTCAAGTTTTTAACATTGACTCAACTCTACCTGCTGTTTCATGTTAAACTGTTCTTTCCAAGAATTTTCAGTAGAGATCCCCAAAATTTTGTCTTCTGTTATGTTTGAGCATGTATCTGAAATCCACCATAGGGCGCTGGAATACTTGGAAGGAGTCTAACTACACAATTACATTAATATGTGTACTTTAGTGACACACTGTAAACATCTTAAGAGAAGATACATGTTAACTAAAACCTAAATTTGATGTCAAAGCATGCTGACCCTGTTACTCAGTTTCCTGTTTTTCTTTGTACAACTATCCCTAAATTGTAGTTGGAGGGAGTAACTTCCTTTAACAAGTAGGGTTTTCAGAGGAAATGTAATCTAAGAATATTGGTGACAATGTTAGAGTTCTATAGAAGAAAATGGCTTCCATTGCACATGGCCAAAAAATGGCTTATATGCATATAAATATATATTTATGATATTAAACTTACGTGGAACTCCTGTGTCTCCAAAATTTTGAACTAGTTTTGTTTCTTATGCTCTAGGAGGGTCCTAATAGTCTGATTAATGAAGAAGAATTCTTTGATGCTGTTGAAGCTGCTCTCGATAGACAGGATAAAATGGAAGAACAGGTATTGATACTTGAAAAATGCCTTAATGATGGGCACTTCTTGGGAGACTTCTGTGACTTAAACTCAGACCTGGGATGCATCTCCTGAAGCTCTAGATATTTTGTTCTGACACTGACAAGGAGAATTCACTTAATATTTTTACAGATAAATATTGTTGCTTAACGCAAATTTCAATAAGGTGACTTCACAGCTTACATAGAAGAGGATAGTATAAGAGTTAAGCTAATTGAATGTTTCTAGTTTCTAATTCCTAAATTAGTGTCCTGTATAAAACTTACCTTTGTATGTAACTGATGACCTGTGCAAATAAGAATATCAAACACTGCAGCTGTTTCTGAAAGCCTAATCATTGCTCTGAAGCTTCTTTTGACTCTAGCAGTATGTGAAATAGGAAAGACACAATTCTGTTGGTGTTTGGTTTTATTTTAAAATTGTATAGGCTCTGGCTACTTGACTCTAGCAGTATGTGAAATAGGAAAGACGTAATTCTGTTGGTGTTTGGTTTTATTTTAAAATTCTATAGGCTCTGGCTACTTTTCTAACTCATTTCTGGAATACACTTCAGTGCATGGCAGGTAATATGTAGAATATGAGAGTATGTAGCAGTATATAAAATGAGAGTGAATAACTAAGTGGTGCATCCTTTGCCTTAAAATGCTTAGGCTTATGAATATAGTGAATAAAATGACTTGGTTAAGAATTAAAATACTTTCTAGTGGACATACAGTACCCAACAGAGTTTACCAATGTTGGGATCCCTTAGTGGAGAGTAAAAGTTTCGAGTGACTGTTGTACTACTACATGGATCCTTAATGCTGCCAATCTCTTTTCCTTAACTCAGAAATACGCTTTGAAGTGTAGAAAATTCAGTCTTCAGGCCCATTCACTTACTGAGCATTCCAGCAGGATGACAGCTTCATGCCAGTCATGGACAGCATTAGTTGGTGTAGCCACTATGTAGATTGAGGATGACTCACTCTGTTTCATAGTCCACCCAGTAGCAGCTGACTACTACTAATTAAACCTATTTTGTTGCAGTCCCAAAGTGAAAAGGTCAGATTACACTGGCCAACATCCTTACCTTCTGGAGATGCATATTCTGCTGTGGGGACTCATAGATTTGTCCAGAAGGTAAGATACTTCTCATGAACACCTCCGAATAATGGTCTGACCTATGATATTTCTATATAATATTTTACATGGGTAGGTGAGATTTTTTTTTTTAGGTGTTTCTAGTAACTTTCAATGGTTTACTCATTTTCAAATGAAGTAGCTGGAATTGGAGAAGGATTGTTTCCTGCCTTGGCTCAAAAGTACTGATTTGATTATCTATTTAGAATACTCTTGACTTGTATCAAGCTTGTCAGATAATAAAGGAAAAATCCCAACTTGCTAACCACAGTGTTTGTAAGATACCTTCACCAAAATTAATTGAATTGATTATTTAAAAAAAAATCCAATCTTTTGTATGAGGATCAGTTGACTTTTTTTAGTGTTACTGGAAACACTGTGCTCCTCTCAGGGCTACACTGGGAGCATAATACATAATAGGTGCATGAAATCAGCATTCGCTGCTGTGCTTGCTGCTTATGGTGCTTTTGTTTTCCTTTTCTTCATTATCTTGTGCTTGCAAGTTGGTACTGAATGCTCTGTTGTGCCTTTGTTCTGATTACTTGGTTTTTTCTTTGTCTGTCTCTGGTAGCCCTATAGTCGCTCTTCCTCCATGTCTTCCATTGATCTAGTCAGTGCCTCTGATGATGTTCACAGATTCAGCGCCCAGGTACTGTATTAATGTGTAGAGTGGGGGTTGCATATCTTTGCTGTATTTCATCCTCTTCTCTAGAACCTGGGTTTTTTGTTACATAAGTCACTGCTTGCTTTAAACTAGTACATTGAGACAAACAAAGGAGTTCTCTATTCCTGTACTAAATGGTTGTGTTTTTACATTCTGCTTGCATGCATATCATTTGTGCAGAGGCCCGAATCTTGTGGAACTGTTGGATTTAATTCAGTAGCTTTAATAAAAATGCCTACGATTTGAAAGTTTTGCATTTCTGACTATTATAAAAGTAGAATAACACCTGTTTTGTGTGGGCTGGAGATGGTCTTTGCTTCAACTTGAACAGTTTTTCGTGCTTTTAAATCAAAGGTTTGATTTTTGTCTTTAACATGTGTTTGTCATGACATTAAGATAACAAATGTTAAGGTTCACTATTACCATTTTTTATATCTAAAACTAGTTTTATTATTGAAAGATCATAATGTATGCTGTTGACAAACAAGATTGGGGGTATGAGAATTTTCCCTGAAGAGTTTCAATATATTCATTTATACTTCCAAAAATAAGTCTTTACATCCTGAATGTCAATGTAGTCATAGTGACATATTCCAGTAACATGGAAAATTACTCTAGGTGCTTGCTCTGAAGATCATAGTTGAGAGTAGAATTACATAGGTGAGTTCATGTGTTTGCTCTTTTAGTCTCAAAAAAAAGGTGTTCAGGCATGGCATTCATGCCATTAGTTTCCTTCTGCTAAGGTCCACATGTGATTGTGAATATGGAGCTTCCTTCTGGGATCTGTTATTTTGGAATTTTTTGAAATTATGGACTAACGCTGCAAACAACCTACTTTTTCAAATAGAAGGAATGAATTTTCTTTTGATTAACAGAGTCTGGAATTGTACCACCTACAGACCTTACTACCAGCTTTATGAGCAGGACCCTAACGCTTAAGGACTCGCTTATTGGACTGAAATCCCAACACTTGCCTTGACCTTTGGCTGTCACTTAATTTCTGAAATTTGAACTTACTGCAAGGGAAAAAAAATACACAGGTCATATTGCACAATGCTGATAGGCTCATCTGTTGGCACCCCAGTAGTCAAGTTCGTTTTTCAAGTTTATTCTTGATTGGGAGGAAGAGGAAAATCAAGTAATAGAAAGCAAGTTTGATTCCAAAGATAGGAACTGGTTGTCTGTCAGGCTCTGGTTACATGAGCAGTTCAGTATAAGCGAAACTCATACGCAAGCCGCCTCATTTTCACCTCTTTTATGCCTGTGATAACATTTGTGCGTTCATGTGATAAACCTGAGTATCAGAACACTACTGTGGCTGAAAAACTAACCATTTAAAAACAAATCTGAGGTTGACCAGGTCCTTACCGCAGTAATGTAGATTGAGGTTTAAGGACCAGGTTCAAATGGACTGGAGTCAAGTTGTTGCTTTTTTCAGCTGCTGTGTGAGTTGTTCCTAGACTGGATTCCTGCAAAGGGAATATTGGTATCAGTGAGTGGTCGAGTAGAAACCTGCAGCCTTGTTTTTAAGATTGAGAAGTATAAACATGCATTCTGATGGGACCTGGTTCTTCAGTTTGCCTCTAGAAAGGCATTGATTTGTCTTTGCCAGTTGAGTAGGAGGTTTTGTGCTTAAAACATTGTAGATGTTTTGCAGGTCCCTTTCTTTTAAAGGACTATCAGATTTTAAGATAGGATGAGCTGTTCTGAGGGCTTTTAAAGTGAAGACCTTCTCCGTTTAGGAAGGTTGCGTGGCATACGGGTTACAAGTATTTTTGCAGACCATTCCCATAGCCTGCCAAGAACCCAGAGGTAATAGTGTGGCCTCCCCAGTGGGAAAGAAGCTATGAATCTTGACTCGGTGCCTCCGAAACAGGTGCAGGTTGACAGACAGTGACCCGTGTGTAGATTACATAGTTTGGACAGGTAGTATGCACAAGGCAGTTGTAGGAAGTGCAATTTCTTGGTGCAGCAGAAGTAAGAAACTGTTCAGATTGGACTTCTGTGGAGGCCTCCTCCTCTTCTTTCCTTGCTGTTCCTCTCATCCCTCTGCATTTAGCATGAAGCAAAAAGCAGCAAAGGACAAAACAAAGATACTAAACTAGCTTTGTCCTTAATAGATTAGGAGCTAGGAGAGAAGAAACATAGGACCTGAAGGTGTTGCAGGTAAATGTTGGGAGCATGGCAAGGATTCCTTTCTGAAAGAAGTATGACCTACAGCTATTAACTTGAATATTTAAATAGCCCACATTCTTACCTGGTTTGGATTGTACTGTCATTGTTTCACTGGAAAAAAAAAATAAATAGAAGAATCTTTTGTAGAAAACCTGCTAGTAACTGGCAGGAAAAGATGGCCGTCTAAAAGGAGACACACAAATCTTGCAGGTGTTTTTAGTTCATTATAACTCAGAAACAAAACAAAACAAATGCCAAAGAAAACCCTAAAACCTGGACTGGTAACTTTTGCTTCTGTAGAGAAGTTCATAGTTAAAATAAGATAAACTAGAATTTCCATCCAGTAGGTTTTATTTTTGATGTTGTCCTTTGAGGATTTTTACTTGATTCAATTACTTTTTGCATCCTGGTCTTAAGTGTATTGTCCATGGAGTATATAGTACAAACAAAATGATTGCTTTAAATTAAAAGTAAATCACATCTTTCAGTTCTGTATCATATCAGAAAAAGAAGTGTTCTTTAATTTTGCTTTCTACTTGTTGTACTACTTGCTGGAATATATGTTTTATGTTATTTTATATGCACACTAGGCTTCATATTTTTGTGAGTTGCACAAAACCACTTATGGGTTCAGGTTATTAATCTTGGGATTGTGCACTACTTAGGCTAATCTTTGTGTGGATCAATTAACCTTTGCTTGTAGTGCTTTTCCTTTTGAAAAAAAAAAAGTATTTCTAGTAATTCAGGAAAATAGTGTAAATCACATGGACTTGCTGCGACACATTTTAGTAGTCACCTACCTTTTGGGTGGAAAAAAGTTATTGAAGTGTTACCAGTATTTGTAAATATTACGCAGCAATGGATACCTTAATTTTTGCTTCTGTTTTTATTTGCGGGAGAGTGAGATTTGGAAAGGGGTGGGGAACAAAAGAAACAGAATAAGATTGTAGATTTAAAATAAAAATCCATTTCCTGTCCCAGCGCCCATTTTCATGCACATTATATGGAATGAAAAAACGAGATATTCGTATAGCTTGATAAAAATGTATCAAATATATGGCCTTTAAATAAAGCATACAACTGTCTAGCTAAATAATTTTTAAATTAGTGTTTTATAATTACAGAGTCTCTGTATCATCATAATTTTTTGAATGTAAGCATTTCTGTTCTTTTTTTCTATCTGGCAACTGTGCAAAGATGCCAATGAAACAGAATAGGCATGCTTTGCTCATGACTGTTCAATGCACTGCTCTTCCAATGTGACTCCTGTTATGTATTCACTTTTTTAGAGTTTGTCTGTCTTCCTCCCCACCCCCCTGCCTTTGCTCAGCTTTTAAAATGCTCTTCAGTTAATATCTTACAGTGCATTGTAATTCTATTCAGAGATACCTGAAGTAAGTTCCTATACGGTGACATAAAGCTGTCTTAGGTAGAAATAGTGAGGTTTGACAGTTCTGAGGTGCAAAGAAAGGATAGGAAGTACCCGTAAAGAATGAAGTTGGAAGTTGAATCAAGATTTTGGTTGTTGTTTCTGAAGACCAGAAGTATCTGGTTGTTCTTAACCTGTAATAGAAAGCTCTGTTGTACAAATTCAGCTCCCACACAGGATTTGAAGTATTGACTTGTGGCTTCCAATACTGTATAGTCTCTGCCCAAGAAGATGGAAGGAATGAGTTAAAAATGTGTATTTTTTTTTTCATTTTAAAGGTGGAAGAGATGGTACAAAACCATATGACATATTCTTTGCAAGATGTAGGAGGAGATGCCAATTGGCAGCTAGTGGTAGAAGAAGGAGAAATGAAGGTAAACATTTGGGGTTTTGTTTAATTGATGTAAGATGATATGCTATGAAGACAGATACTTCCAGTCTGGTGGACTTGGCAGTGTTAGGTTTACAGTTGGACTTGATCTTAAGGGTCTTTTCCAACCTAAATGATTCTGTGGTTCTCTGGGAATACTATCACTCAGCAAGTTATGCTGCTAAAACTTCTTGCTGAGAATAGCATTGTTTAAGTTAGGACGGGAGTCCACATGAGCTGTGGCTTATAATATATTTATTCATACAAAATCCTGTGTAAATCTTGCAGTAGCTTTATCTTTGCAGATTCCTTTCTCAGTCTCTCCTACTTAAAACTTGCTATCAAAATGATGTGTAAATTTGATGTACGAAAATGTCATGGAGTAGCAAGGAGGCTGCTCTGCTGCGCTTGTACAGATCCTTGTGCGTAACGATAAATAAGGTAGCTTAATTTTTGGAGTAGAGATTCTTAAAATACTGGCATTGGAATGTGAATTGCCATGTAAGAATGTCTGCATTGGTAGTTACCAGAGAATGCTGACATGGCAAAATATTCTTTTGTTAGTCTTCTAGGTAAGTGTTTTTAAAAACCTGATGAAATTTTAACCAATTAAAACGTGGGTAGTTTTGACAATTTCTGTTCTACATTTCTTTGTATTTGGCTATAGGTATACAGAAGAGAGGTGGAAGAGAATGGAATAGTTTTAGATCCTTTGAAAGCAACCCATGCTGTTAAAGGGGTAACAGGGCATGAAGTTTGCCACTACTTCTGGAATGTCGATGTTCGTAATGACTGGGAAAGTAAGGAACTGATTCTTAAGCTTTGTGTTTTTATCAGCAAGGAGATTATTTATAACATTGACCTAGTATCTGTGCTTGTGTACTGATGGATTTTATTTTTCCCCCCCTCTTTTAGCAACAATTGAAAATTTCCATGTTGTGGAAAATTTAGCTGATAATGCAATCATCATTTACCAGACACATAAGGTAATAACGCTTCAGCCGTATGCGTATCTTACTAAGATAGTCTGGGGCATATATTTTCTAATCTTACTCTGAAATACTTCAGTGGCTTAACAAAGTACTGCTCAGAACAACATTTCAGAATAAGTTCTCTATTAACTTGCTCAGTTTTTCAAATTTGTCTTAATAGCATAATTGCTTGTGCATGTGTCTGATAGAGCTTGTAATAACAAATGAGTATTGTTTTTCATCTCCAAATATATCACTGTCAGCAAGCAAGAGTCATCTAAAGCAAACAATAAATCAACACCGACTACAAGGAAGGAACCTGTACCACTGTTATCTCACGTTTTGTTGCAATAATGCAAGCTATTGCTAACCACAATTAGGTGACATACATTTTTACATTATGAGGTGGTATAATTGCTGGTACAATATTTGTCCTTGTAATTTCATTATGTTTCCCTGCCCCCCTCAACCAGTTCTGGTGTAGCTTTACTAAAGTGCTCATTTGAATTATAATCCAACAACTGTAATTTAAAGGTTCCAAAAAATGGGAATGAAGTGTACAGATTCATCTTTAATCTTGCATGAGTCCATGTATTAGTATGCTCAAATATTAAACCAAATATTTTTCTTTGACAATTTTACCAGTAATGCAGTTACCTTAAAACTTCTGTAACAAGATGACTTGTGATTTTGAATAAGACAGTTGTGTAAACTGTATAGTGTTGTGGTAAAAGGTAGACTTTTTTCCCCTATTGAGTGTCAGGAAAATGGCTTTTTGTATATTTTCTTATTTTATCAACATACTGCTTCTGAAACTGTCGTTTAGATAATACCAGTTTACTGTATCTGTCTATACTACTGAAGTAGTAGCTTTTTGAAGTGGTATTTGTTTTAAGTGTCTCTCTCTTGCACTCCCTCTGGAGGCATAAGTAACTGGAGGGGCATCTATTTATACTTAACCACTACTTCATTTTACAAGCATTAACTAAAAAGTAAACCTGAGGTTGAGGGAACAGGAGGAGAACTGGCTCTTCCCCTTTGCTGAAAGAGTCATTGAAGCTTGGCTTCCTGCATTTCAAAGGCTTTAAACTTTTGCCTTAATTTTTTTTTTTAAAATTAAGCATAGCCATATAACTTGATATGCATCTGTACAATAGCTATGTTCTGTTTCAGTTTTGAAAATCAAATTACTAACTTGAAGGAAATTTTACTTATATAATGTCACTGACCTGTTTTACCTTGCTTGTTTTTTCCTTTATCTAAGCATAGTAAGTACTTAAGCTTTTCCAGTTTTGCAAATTACATTCAGGTGTTTCTCTGCAGAGGGTGTGGCCAGCTTCTCAAAGGGATGTGCTGTATTTGTCTGCCATCAGAAAGATACCAGCATTCAGTGAAAATGATCCTGAAACATGGATTGTGTGCAATTTCTCCGTGGAACATGACAGTGCTCCTGTAAGTATTACTTTTGTTCTATCAAGTTCTGCTTCTAAAATAACACTTTTCTATTACATGGTAATGCATGTGCAATACCTAGTGTGAGGGAGGTGGGGGGTGTTATGCAAAACCACAGTTTATTTAAAACAGGTGATACAATGACCTGACAAAGACATTCTGAGCTAAAAGGTTTCTTGATGTAACTCAACAGTTGGCAGATCTAAGGTGTTGCAGCAGAATGGAAGCAAAATTTCTGGAGATGTGGAAACATTTTAAAGAACTGAGGTTGTTTTGTATGTAATCAAATCAATAACTCTTCAGTATTGTCAGATATAGGCAGAGGCTCGTATAAGTGTAGATATGGAATCTGTTAGACTCCCATCTTACACAGTTCTGCCTTGGTTCTGTCAGATAGTAGCAATGATTGTTTGCTTTGGAGTATTTCTGTGTCTATGCCGTAGCCTGCTCACGAGGGAAAAGTTACTAACTGATATTTGTAAATGCTGATGCATTATTCTTTAAAAGCTTTCTTACTCATTTGTCACAATAATAGAAGTAATTCACTTATGTATTAAGCAAGCAGAAATATGAGATTCAGGCATTTTAGTTTAACCCTTTCCGTGGGTACACTGTGTACTTCTCATTTCACTCACATTCATGTTACATCCGTGTAGTGCTAGAATACAAACGCTCAAACATGGCTTCTGGAGGGTCTTAGACTTAATAGTATATTAAAATGTTAGCAGACAAGTATGCTGAAACAAATTTAGTTTGAGGCTTACAAATGTTTCTCTTTTTTTGGCAGCTGAACAATCGCTGTGTCCGTGCCAAGATAAATATTGCTATGATTTGTCAGACCTTAGTAAGCCCACCAGAGGGGAACAAGGAAATAAGCAGGGACAACATCCTATGCAAGATTACATATGTAGCTAATGGTAAGTCTAAAATTTTTCAGTATGACGTTCATGATACATGCTAATTCTGGGGAGCTGAATACTGGCAAAGAAAGCTTGATGCAGTTTTCTATATATAGCATCACACTTGTAGTCTTCATATTTAAAAAGACTCGAATTAATGTGCTACATGAGTCAGTGAGTAGTATCATTTATTGTGTGGCATTCTGGGAGGAATAAATGGGAGTGGTGTGTAGCTCAGTCCTAAGTAAAGAACCTTGGGGTGCAGGATGGTGGGCAGAAGAAGCGTCTGCAACTGGGATGACTTGGCATAGCTTTTAGGTTCATTAATAGTATGGGTTTTTTCATGTATTGCTGTATTTTTTTTTCCCCTGACTCACCTTGTTAGGCTGAAAAGGTGCTGATAGTGAAGATACAGTTCTTACCCTCAGTGTTAAGAAGAAAATACATTTCATGTGAGGATGTTTGTAGGCTGTATAATCCAGTCTACATATTTTTTTATTATTTTTTTAACTGATAGAATCCTAGGTACTGACTGAAAAGTTATCAAAGCCAAACTGTACTGTTACTGCACCCAGTATTTAGCAGCATATTGTAGTATTGGAGCTACATACTTATTAGCTCCTCTTCTGCAGCTACAAAACAGAGTACCTCACCTGCTTATTACTTTAAACTACCTATTACATGGCTTACTAAAGAGTCAGAGGCTAAAAAATTGGTTCAATAGATCTTTGCTGTGCAGGAGTGATGTAACTTGTATAAATCCTGGTCAAATAATATTATATGGTGTTAAACCCTGGGGTAAGCTGCTTGGTTTCCTTTTTAGAAGTTTCCCAATTACTTAAAAAATAAATTTTTTTTGTTGAAAAATTCTGTACTGTGATTACATGGGAAGTGGCAGCATTTTCAGCAAAATACTTGCCCTTTGAAGTGTATTTTAGAATCAGTTGGAATTTTGTTTGAAGTGCTTCAAAATAATTTGTAAGACATTGGCTATGTAGCAGTTACGCAGACAAGCACATCAGTTTTTGAGAAGTTAAAACTGACTTCTGTTTTCTTTGAAATAAGTACTACCTCAAGTCTCATTTTCTGTTGTTTCTTGGAAGTCCTTAGAGAATATCACCTTCTGTTTGGGTATTCTCCAGAGACTCACAACATACCATGTTTAATGTTTTCTAAATAGTGACTTCAGTGGCTGAGGGAGCTGTGGTTGTTTAGTCCGGAGAAGAGGAGGCTGAGGGAAGACCTTATCGCCCTCTACAGCTGCCTGAAAGGAGGCTGTAGCGAGGTGGGGGTCGGCCTCTTCTCCCTGGTAACGGACGATAGGACGAGGGGGAATGGTCTGAAGTTGTGCCAGGCCAGGTTTAGGTTGGATATTAGGAAAAATTTCTTCACAGAAAGGGTTGTCAGGCTCTGGGATGGGCTGCCCAGGTCGAGTCCCCATCCCGGGAGGATAGATGAGGTGCTTAGGGACATGGTTTAGTGGTGGGATGGCAGTGCTAGGTTAACAGTTGGACTTGAGGATCTTAAAGGTCTTCCCCAACCTAGACGATTTTACGATTCTATGATCATGAAACTGAACTGAGCTTGAGTATTAAGAGTAGAAAGTGCCACAATACAAGGCCATAAAAAAAAATAATCTGCTGATCATTATTCTTTCCTGTTACTTCAGAAAGTGTTGCAGGAATAATGAACTTATGTTTTCTTTTCTGGCCTCTAGCAGATTTGCTGTATTTCAATGTCTGTCTTCCTGTCTACTTCTAGTGAACCCAGGAGGATGGGCACCAGCATCAGTGTTACGGGCAGTGGCAAAACGAGAATATCCAAAATTCTTGAAGCGTTTTACATCATACGTGCAAGAGAAAACAGCAGGAAAGCCTATTTTATTCTAGTGATAGCAGGTATAAATTCATTTTTTTTATTCTTGATTCACTGCTGTAAATTTAAGGCCAAACAGAAGTATGCAGTCTAGAAGTGTTTTATTATGATTGCACGAATTCAGTGCTTAGTTTTAATATATGTATACAATATACTTTTTAAAACATTTGTGTAATTCGTGTGTATTATAAGTATGAAAAAAAGGGCTGCACAAGTTAACAAGCGTTAGTTTTTGTAGACTTTTACTAGTTTATCATGCAAGTTTTTGCATTCATGTCTAACTTATGTAGAAGTATAAAATGATGTAATATTGTTTTTTCTCAGCTATCACAGGCATTTTACAGTTCTGAAAAGAATATTTGCTGAAGTTTCTAGAGTCTCATGAGGTTTTGATATGTTAAATTCTACTTACTGCATATTTGATAGAATATTATGAAGGTTGAAGTGTTCTTTTATACTGACAGAATGGTTTTGATCTAGGATTTTTATTAATGGAACTTTTCTGACAGACCAGTGTCAATTACTGGAGTATTTAAAAGGCTTTGACTTAAATTTTTAGCCTTTCTGATGAGCCTCAGAAAGAAAAGGGATTTACAGATGCTTTCTGAAGTCAATGTATGTATTTTAATGGTATAGGTCATGGGGCTAATCTATAATTATTTTAATGTTTAAATGATGATAGGACATTAGAAGAGGATTTCTTGATTGTTTCTGGGGCTGTCTGAATCTGTCAGACATAAAAGCCTTAGTGCTAAGTAAGGCCTGGCTTATTTTGTTAAGTGTGAGCTCTTCCTGTATACTTCATTATGTGTAACTGCAGTGCCAAACCACCAAATTCCATTTGGTAGTTCTAATATTACAGCATGATCCGAAAATGAGTTTTTATCACTTTTCTATACGTGACATAGGCTACCTCTATTTTTGGGTTCTATTTATTATGTCACACTCCAAAAGTCTTAGTCATTTGATCCTTCTGTAGCAGGTAGCCCTGTAATGATTCACATTTTTAATTGTGTATTGTTAGAGAGCTAGTGTAGGTGAACCATTAAAAACACACCTGTCATGAGCCAGCAGTTCAAATGTGATCGTAGCAGTGCTGATACTATTTAAAGTACTTAAGTTCTTTTTTTCCTGTTGGTGTTCAAACTTTTCAGTGCTGTATTTTTGCCTTCGCTTACCTGCAGCGATCAGAACAAGACTGGGTGAGCATTCCACGTTGGAGAAGTGACCATGCATAGAGCACTCCATGCTGGAACGAAGGATCTACAGTCTTTTTATGGCCCAAGTTCTAGGCTTTGTATACTGAAGTGAAGAAGTGTTGCGACACCACAAGGCTGAATATTTAACATTAGCTCTCTCCTGATAACTTTTCTTGCTGAATCTGTGTAATTATAAATACATGTATTGATAACATGTATATGGCTCTATTTTTATTTGCTTGCTTTAGAAGAGGGAGAATGTGTACAACTTTGAATCACCAACATGGGTTACTGCTTTGATTTTAAACAACTTGCAGAATTTTCACTGTCAACCTTCCTAAGATACTCACACGGTTTTTGTGCATGTCTAAAAAGCACAAAAGACAAATGCACATATAGCATACTGTATGTGCTTTATATGCACAAAAATCTATGTGGTATTTGGGGGGGGGGG